CATATGTCTAGCGAAGGGAGTATGTACACACCTTGGGGTAATTCTGTATCTGCCATAGACAGGCAATGTTAAGTACCACTACTAACCAGTACGTATATACGCTTAGTTATGGTGGTACTTTATAGAGTTATATGAAAGGTGATCCTATCGGAGTTCCCCCTCTATGTATTAGTTAGTTCGTCATCTTGTCTTCCTTCTGCAAGCCCCCGTCACCATCTCCACCGGCACATCCATTCTACTCCTTACGCCGCCCACTTTCTCCTTCGACGGTGTGTTTCCCTCGTGGGCCCATGCGGCACTTCTCCTGGACGTCTGGCTGGCCATCACGGCGCCACTAAGCCAGTAGTTCAACCTTTAGCATCGCTCTTCCTTTCCCAATTCACCTTAACCATCCTGTTTTATCTTCGCTCCTACTGAGGTTCTGATAGTCTTCCCCAAAAAAAAAAAAGAAAAGAAAAGAAAAGAAAAAAAAAAAAACCCACTCTGGAGTGCAACCATTACGACTCTCTTTTTTCAGACCGCCTTCTCCTGGGAAATTTTTGCCACTCTTTCATTGGACTTTTCCGAGCAGGCTAAGCCATAGCTTAATCCTGGCCCTCGGCCCCATTTGATTTTCGTATCGTATTCCTTCCGTCCCTTTGAACTATTAGTCTTCTTGCATTGCGCTGCGTCAGAAACGAAATAGAAGAAAGAACAAAAAAACAAAAATAAAAAGAATAATAAAAGAAAAAAGCAAAAAAAAAAGGAAGGAAGGAAAAAGAAAAGAAGAGGAGCCTGGTCATGTTAATTCCCCGTATCTAGTAGTTCTTTAAGTTTTTGCTTTTCTATCTTTTCCAGAAACATAACACAAAGAAAATAGATTTATAATATTATCGGATGATTTTAAACCTCATCTATCAAGGGTCAAAAGTCAAAATATTAGAATTCTCAAAGGAATAATAATTATATTTCTCACAAGAATAAGAAAAAGATAATAATTTTATTATTATAGAGAAAAAGAAAAGAACACGACCTAAAACATACGGCCCGTTCGCTTTTTCTCTGACGGAAGGCTTTAAGGTTACTAACTATCAAACTACTCCGTTTTAGGGGCTGCCGCTCTCTCTCTCACGTCGTCTTGCTTCAATCCACCAAAATCGCCTTTCCTCTGTCTTCACTCCGCCTCACTCACGTCCTGCTTCACTTCCGAGCTTTAGAAGCAGTGTCTGTCTAAACAATCTTTCTGAATTCCGAAGCCATTGCATCTTACCGAGGGTACGTTTTACCTGCAAAATATTGTTTCCTGGCAAATCTGGAAATCGAGCCCCTCCGCCCACGTTTCCCCGTATCATTCGGGCGAAGCAGCCTCTGCATAACTTGGCGATGCTTCGTTTGCGGGCTAACACATCTGTCTCGGGGACCATAGGTCTGATTTAACTAGACAGCGTCTGTTTTCTACTTAATACAGCCCCTTCACCTCGCCTCGTCATTTCGGCCGGTCCGTCTTTTCATCGCCTTGCTCAAACTCGCCTCCCTCTTGTCTTATCATTCCGATTCCACAGACAGTCGAATACATAAAGCCGAATTTGTGCTACGCCGACGCATACAATAACTACTAGGCTCGAGTGGGATGTGGTCTGAAGTTACTCCGACGAACTCTTTCTAGCCTCTGTTGTCACACAACTTTCTCAATGGGGAATTCGCAGGGGAAGCCGGTGTGCTCCACCGATGAAAGTACGTTTATGTTGCCCAGTCGTCCATTGAAACCGACAACAACAGTTTTCGGTTTCGATTCGGACATTACGCTGACCGTAGGGGGGCAACAGTCAACCTGAACCAATTCCGGTTACTTCGCGTGGTCGGGAAAGGTGCTTTCGGAAAGGTTCGTATCGTGGAGAAAAAGGACACCGGGTTGACATTTGCGCTCAAATACATCCGAAAAGAAGAAGGTACGAACCCAAGGTTGATCCTGTTCATCTTGCCTTAACTAATGTATTTCTTCTGCAGTGGTTCGGTCGGAAAGTGTACGGAATATCATCCGTGAACGGAGAATGCTCGAGCATTTGAACCACCCATTCCTGTGCAACTTGAGATACAGCTTCCAAGATATAGAATATATGTGCGTCTTGCAGCGGTTCTTTCACGCAGTTATTCCCCTCCTCCTCCACCCTTTGCCATGTTGCTGATATTTGAGAAGTTATATCGTGGTGGATCTGATGAATGGCGGTGATCTGCGGTTCCACATCTCAAGGAAATGCTTTACGGAAGACGCCGTGCGCTTTTGGATGGCCGAACTCGGGTGTGCGCTGAAATATATCCACTCGCAAGGCATTATTCATCGAGATGTGAAGCCGGATAATGTGCTATTGGACTCTGAAGGACACGTCCACTTGGCTGATTTCGTATGTCATCCTCCGGGCCGATCTGAATCGGGGCATTACGGTAATATGGAAAACTAACCTATTGTCTTTGCTGCAGAATGTGGCCTCGGACTTCCGCCCTGGAAAGCCTCTCACCAGTAAATCAGGGACCCTAGCATATCTTGCGCCCGAAGTATACGAGGGCGGCGGATACTATTGTGAAGTTGACTGGTGGTCACTGGGAGTAACATTCTACGAGTGTATCTACAACAAGGTTTGTTGAAGCGTGTTCTTTAACCTGGAATCAACACTAACAAAACTCAAAGCGACCATTCGAAGGTCGTAGCCAGGACGTACTGAGCGAAAACATTAAAAAAGCTCAGCCGAAGTACTATGTCACTAACCCGGCAGTCTCGGTTCCATGCTTGCGAGCGATGGGTGCACTCATGGAGAAGGACCGAAGCAAACGGATCGGTGCCTCCAGTTGGGAGAGTTATATTACTCACCCCTTCTTCGCTGAACTCGACTTTGTAGCGCTTGAGCACAAGGAAGTCCCACCAGTGTTCAGACCCTCTAGTGATAAAACCAACTTTGACGCCACATATGATCTGGAGGAATTGCTTCTTGAGGAAGCACCACTCGAGGCCAGAGCTCGCCGACAGAAGCCACGAGCAGAATTAAGAGAAGACGCTACAGCGAAGGAAATCAGGGAAGATGAGCTTCACCGTCTGATTGAAACTATGTTTGAGCCATTTGATTACACGACTGTGACTTTCCGAGGGTATGTTGTCTAGCGTATAGTGTGCATGAAACGTGAAATCCGCTAACTAGTCATAGAAATGCCGCGGAAGCTATTGCAGCGTCGAAGTGAGTGAAAAGAGGAGTGTGCGCGAGAACGAACCGTCCTATTTACTGACAATTCTCCAGGAATCCCGAAGACTGCCTTCCCCCAGCTGGCTCAACGCACTCGCGACAATATTCACAGACCGATTCTTCGAGGAACTCGCCTCCCTTGCGTAACAATGATGGGTCAGTGAGTCGATTGACTCAGCCTGAAACTCCGTCACCCCTCGGTGAGACCGTGGATCAACAAGACTCTATCCCAAACCAAGCTCCTACCTCTCCCACCTCCCACCCACAGCCGCCGCCTTCACCAGCTCCACAATTCCATCGTCCATTCCATCCTCAGCCTAACCCTGCGGCCAATCATCTTCCCCCAACCAACCCCACTCCTGTGCCGGGTCGTCCGAAGGGAGCAACACGGAAAACAAGCAAAGGTGGTGGTGTGCAGATGGTGCTTGAGGAAGCAGGCAGTTGGAGTGAATTGGCTGATCAAAGCTCGACCCTCCCAGCCGAAGGTTATGATGCTGGTTCTATCAAAGGAAAATCCTCGAACAGCGGCATGCTAGCCTTCCTGAGCCGGAAGAAGGGCCGTGACAGGAGTCCAAAGCCACAGGAACCAGGTGTTCTGGGCAAAGAAGGAGCTAGACAAATCATTAGCTGAGGAGGACATGACTCAATTCAAGCGGCAGGGGCGACGTAACGCGTCCTGCTTTCCTTCGGCGCTCTACTCTTGAGCTAGCCGGAGAAGCATCGGCTCTCGAAATAGAATTCTCCTCTTACAGCATTCAACAGATCGCCGACGTGTTGCACCACTGGCTGGCCCAACTAAGATTGGTCGCACCGTGGCGTCTAATGCAAATATATCTCGCGAAGCCTCGCCTAGCAATTCTGGCCGTCGCGTTTGAGATTCCGAGGTCAGATGAAAAATTAGCATTACTGAAAATTTTGGCGATACACAAAAAAAGAAAACCCCCAGCGGCAAGACTCATGGCCGACTATTCTGCTGGTCCTCATCTCTGGTCCCTTGCATTTAAAAGTGCCTGCCAAAGCATCAACATGGCCACGAGAGGGTCACTGTGAATTGATCACTGTGCAGTTGGTGTCTTCATGCTTTCAACATTTTCGGACCCCAACACTGTCATGAGTCCTGGGCCGCGGGAGAAAATATTACTTCTTTAATTTCCCTCGACTTCTTCGTTCTAGTGGGTTTAGCAAAGAGCAGACCTATTCTCTATCTTCGTTCTCCCCTTTTTGTGTTGGTCTAGGTGCGGAGTTGTACAGACGGAAGTGCATATATGACCAATTTATTATCATAATCATTACTAAGTTGACCAGCGAGACTTTGCTCCTATTCTGCATGTCGAACCTATTGTGGATGTACACCTTGTTTCCTATCTTGTGTGCTTTTGATTGTTTAGATGGCGTTTACATACCCCTCCTGATGGTCATGGATTGGCAGTGGTTATGCTGTGCATAGTGGTTGAAAGATATGAAGGGGGTTGCATAGATATTTCTTTTCTCCTTTATTTCTCTAGGTTTTTTTCTTTTTTTTTTTTTTTTATTCAGTTTCAACCAGGATCTCAATTGGCTTGGATGATTACAGTTCCTTTGTAATTAATGATTTGTTCATATGTTACTACTATATTTCCGTTGAATGTGAATACTTCAGAATAGACATTGATACGCATATAGTTATGGAAGGGAACAGGGGGGTCATGTAATAGAGCTCGTGATCAACTACCTTTCCTTGGTAACTGGTTCAATCTTCAATGTCACTCTTCTCCACTAATCAAATGAACCAAGATACCAGGCAGCCACAATCCTCTTCTCCTTCCCACCAGATACATGGTCTTGCAGTTATTAATCTGAAATTCACCGCTTTTGTTGCTCCGCAACTTTTCTTCTCCACTAACGCCAAGAGGTTGGCCTCTCAGGCCGTCGGGTCCAGAAATAAACCATCCCTCGCGATCGGTAAATCTTCCGAACAATAGCATACTAGATAGTAATATGCAGCTTCCAGACTGAAACAACCCTGCTGAAATGAACCAGGACTCACTTACCGGGCTCTACATTTTTTAATAAGTGGTCTAAGGGCCTCCGTTTTTCGCTCCGATGTTAGGTAGCGACGCGCTCTCTAGTCGCTAAGTTTGTTTACTGCGATAAGAGAGGCACCTTAGAAACTTGGGTCTTAGCGCGGGCAACTAAAGTCTGGGCTATAGAGTCGCGCTTCCCACGTCGCATATGTATAATTGGCGATTATTTCCTCGAGTCCCCCTTTGTGCGATTTCTTAACGATGATTTCAATTTCTCTCATTCCTTGATTTAACCATTCGACACACCCCCGCCATCCATTCCTCTTGCGACGCGAATTTCATGACGTTCTGGGCTTCTGCTTTACGGTGAACGAGTGGGGCGCCCGGCATTCGCATTGTCGAATTTACAGATCGAGCGATTGTCGCATTTCGGTTAAAGTTAGAATTGCATGCCGAGTCACTCGCGCAGTCGGGACCGCTATCGCGGCGAGCGGGATCCGAGCAGACGTTATCGCGAGGTTTATGATGATGATGATGATGATGACGATGACGATTTCGATTACCATCCCCGTGAACGAAGGCGATATAGGCGTGACGGTTACCAGCATGATATACGAAGCCATGAATCTCGAGACTATGATAATGATTTGAACGAATATGATGTTGCTACGGAGGACCCTGCGGTACCTCTTAGATCGCATGATGTGGAGGGGAGACGGAGAGAGAGGTCTAGGGCGGGAGAATCGCCAATTGCATCGCCAAACAGGAGAGGTAGGAATCGTGGTGGGGAGGAATACAGAAGGCACGGAACCTATGGTGACGGTGGTACTCCTACCCGGGGCGTTAGGGACCGGAGGCATCGCAGTCGGGAAGGCCAAGGGGAACGACCCCGCGACATAGATAGAGAGGCGCGAAGGCAGAGGCGAAGGGAAAGGGCACGCGGCGCTGCAGCAATGAAGCATAAGAGCAGTGATTCTACGAACAGTGGATCCCATCTGTTGAGTGCTGATGCGTTGGCCAAACTCCGCTCCCACTATGATGAGGAAGACCAATGGGAAAGATCACAGGCAGAAGAACAACGTCGGATGGAGAGCAGGCGTCAGCGCAAACGTCCTATTGTTGGCGATGAACCGCAGACTCTTGCTCCATTCCCTGGGGAAACTCCCCGAGGACAGTCGAAAGGCAGAATCGTGTCTGGTGCTTATCTGGAAGAGGGTCATCCAGAGATGGAGGTTCGGCATCGCGGAGGTGGTGGTCCAACAATGGAGGCCAGATGGCGGAAGGAGGGTATTTGGGATGGAAGTATGGAGAACTCCAATGCACAACCGCCATTCTGGAAGCGGAAGAAATGGTGGATTGTCATAGGTGTGCTGATCGTCGTGCTCGCTATTGTTATTCCGGTTGCTGTCGTTATGTCTAAGAAACATGGCCATGATGATGATGATGATAAATCAGGCTCAAGCTCTTCCGTCGATAACAGCGACTCGCCTTATATCTCAAGCTTGGATGGGCTAAGCCATGACAGCATTCCAGTATGTCTACTTCCATGCAAATTTGTGACTCATTGCTAACCAATATGTCTAGGAATATGCTCAGGGATCAATACTGGATCCCTGGACGTGGTACGACACTAGAGACTTTAACCTGACTTTTACCAACGAGACGGTCGGTGGCCTTCCTATCATGGGGCTAAACTCAACATGGGACGACTCAACAAGACCCAACGACAATGTGCCCCCGTTAAATGAATCCTTCCCGTACGGATCGCAGCCAATTCGCGGTGTGAATCTTGGAGGATGGCTGTCAATCGAGCCCTTTATTGTCCCTTCACTATTCGAGAGTTACTCAAGCAAGGACAGAATTATCGATGAGTATACACTATGCAAAAAGCTCGGATCGTCCGCTGCCTCGACAATCGAAAAGCATTATGCCGACTTTATTTCAGAACAAGATTTTATAGACATGAGGGATGCAGGACTGGATCATGTTCGCATCCAATTCTCCTACTGGGCGGTCACGACGTATGACGATGATCCGTATGTCGCAAAAATATCATGGAGGTACCTCTTGCGAGCCATTGAATACTGCCGAAAGTATGGGCTCCGCGTTAACTTGGACCCGCATGGCATCGCGGGTAGCCAAAATGGCTGGAACCATAGCGGCCGCGAGGGAGTCATCGGCTGGTTGAATGGTACGGACGGCCAACTGAACAGACAGCGCTCTCTCGATTTCCACAACCAAATCTCGCAGTTTTTCGCGCAACCCCGCTACAAGAATGTTGTTACAATTTACGGGCTCGTCAATGAGCCACTCATGCTCTCGTTGCCGGTTGAGGACGTATTAAATTGGACGACAGATGCCACCAAGCTGGTGCAGAAGAACGGTATTTCAGCCTATGTCACCGTCCACGACGGCTTCTTGAACTTGAGCAAATGGAAGAAAATGCTGAAGGACCGGCCGGACCGGATGTTCCTGGACACTCATCAGTACACCATCTTCAACACGGGACAAATTGTCCTTAATCACACGGACCGCGTAAAGCTCATCTGTAATGACTGGTACAACATGATCAAAGAGATCAACACCACAAGCGCAGGGTACGTTCAACTAAACCCCCCCTCAACACTCAAATCACGACCATGTCTAGTCAGCTACTAACTACGACAAAAAAAAAAATAGCTGGGGCCCAACCATCTGCGGCGAATGGTCCCAGGCTGATACCGACTGTGCCCAATACCTCAACAACGTCGGTCGCGGCACCCGCTGGGAGGGCACCTTTGCTATAGGCGATTCAACGGTCTACTGTCCCACCGCTGACACAGGACCAACCTGCAGCTGTGCCTCCGCCAATGCCCCTCCTGCGGATTACTCAGACGGCTACAAGAAGTTCCTTCAAACATATGCCGAGGCGCAGATGTCTGCTTTTGGAACAGCCCAGGGCTGGTTTTATTGGACCTGGCATACGGAGTCCGCTGCCCAGTGGAGCTACAAAACGGCTTGGAAGAATGGCTATATGCCGAAGAAAGCTTACGCTCCAGATTTCAAGTGTGGTGATGATATTCCGAGTTTCGGGGATTTACCGGAATTTTATTAGTTAGGTTTCTTTGTTTCATTGTATGTTTCTAGATTTCCCCTTTTCTTTTTCTATTTTTGGATTCGGTTCAAGTAGCATATATTTGCGTGGTGGGCTACGGTTGTATTTTAGTTTGCTCATCGGACATCCGCAGGATCGCTCTTGGTCGTCTTGATGTATATACAGGCTTATATCCTATTCTTACTGCACAAAATGTTAAAGAGGTGGCTTAGAGGGTCTCCAAGTTATATAAATAGTTCTTGTGTGCTCATGAACAGGATATGGTGTGTTCAGACAGAGTATATTATACAAGTAGCATTCATCGTAACGGCATGACAATAATCCCAGGAGTCAATCAATGCCCCTGGAATAACCAAACGGCAGCATCAAGCTCTTCATTCGGTCAATCACCCTTCAAACCAGCCACCTTCATCCCACATCCCGGGTCTGTAGATATAATTGCTGCGACGTTCGTTTTCATAGACCCCATCCAACAGATCACCGATCCGATGCAAACCAACAGGCTTCATAATCCACCCATCAAATCCAGTATCGATGTATACTTGTCGATCTTTCTCCTTCGAGGACGAAGAAACAACTAATATCGGTACACGATTCTTAAGTGCTCCGCCCCTGGCAGAGGATTGTTCACTTTCCCGAATCATCTTTGTTGCGGTCAAGCCGTCAACTACTGGCATCTGTTTACTCACACATTAGCCCCGTTGATCTCTAGTATATACGAGCGAAGAGTTGCTTACTTGTAAGTCCATCAGCACCGCATCAAAACAATTCGCCTTCTCCCGAAACACAGATGCACACTCTTTCCCATCCCTCGTCAGATATACTGTATGTCCGGACATTTCTAATCTCTTGCGCAGAATGGTACTATTTGTGGGATCATCTTCGGCCACTAGGATGTGTAGATTGGTCTTTGTTCGTTTGTCGGTTGGATAGCTCATAGAGCGTGAGGCTCTTAATGAATCGGGTCTGTTGGACATTTTGTGTTGTTGGTCTTGGTATGTACTTTGGCTGGATGATGATGATGATGATGATGATGTTGTTGTTGTTGTGGCGGACGATGTCTGTTGGACCATTGCTGGATTACGATGGAAGGTGTTGAGACTAGAATCAGAGGCCAGCTCTTCATGCAAATCTCGGATAGTCGCTAAAACGTGAGGTTATTCGAACAGCACACGCAGAATCTGGCGTGGTGATGTATATACCCTTTATACTAAAATTGAGTTTATAACGGAGATTGCAGGGGGTTCCGATATCCGTTGAATCTGAGGCGAGAGCCGTAGCAGCGCTGGATGGTATGCCGCGTTTCGACGGGATATATCTGAAACGAGGGTTCCATGGAACCGGATCGCCTGGTCTAGAATCCGTTTATATTCCCTGGGTTCCTTTATTAGCCTACTTGGGTCCGTGTCAGCTTTTTTCTTGGTTCCCGAAATTTAGGCTCAATATAAGGTGGCTTTCGAGAAGGATTGTTGGGCCCATCCAAGTTTGGGATATTCTGGATTGGAGGTATGGAACGGCGACACGGGCTTTGGGTAGGGTTGACCCTTGTTTAGGGAGGGGGTATCTCTTCGTATCTTTCTGTTGGGCCTAGCTTCGTACAGAAGAAATGCGAGTCATACACACGGACACCGATCTAGATCTCTCTGCTTAACTCGATCGTGAGATTCGGGTATGCTTTCCGTTCGAGCTCAGCTTTCCCACGATCGAAGCCGTCTCTGACTCGGGAATATGCACCAACTCGCTTCATGGGCCCATGGGAAATATGCTCGTATTGGTTTCTCTGACTCAAGGCTAACCTATCCAAGTTGCATGATTTGGTCGTGACAGCGGCAGGGCATATTAATGACCCAAAGACTTAAATTTGTGGCCACTTGACACAATCAGCGTTCATATCCAGACGGGAAAGCTCCACATTATATGGATCTCGACCGATTACACTTTTTTTTCTTTTCTCTTTTTTTTTTATTTTTTTTTTTTTCCCTTT